TTTCAAATTTTGCTTGGTTGCTGAGAAAATTCATGTTTTCTAAATGATTTTCCCACTATCGTTTTAAACGTAGCAATCAGCGTACCAAATATACAGTAAAACAAGTCTTTGTGCGTTTAACAAAGCAATTTTGGGCATGTGATAACAATATCGTTTCGTCGTAAAAACGTAAAAACCGTTCGAACAGTTTTTATTTCGTGATCTTGTGCCTTTCACAATGTTCTAAGCTTTGTTAGAAATAACTTTGGGATCTTTTAACAGATGTATTTTGTGGAAAAAACATTTTACTGCAAAATGAGAGGTTGCAGAGCTCTGAGAGAATCTTGATAACTGATATACAGCAATTATTCTTGATGCCAGTTTTTAAGTGGTGTGTACGTAACGCTCACTTGCAATATACATATATTTCGGTTTTTGTTCATGGTATCAATAGTTAGCAATATCTATGACAGTAGCCAGTTTCGAGGTTACCTTAATACAATGTTTCAATTCAATACTAGAAACTGGCATAAATATAAATTATGTATAAGCCAAATTTCTTTCATAAGCCAAGGGTTTCATTAAGGTTTCAGGAAAACCCCATCGCTTGCAAACCAAGTTGTAGGTATGAGGAAAGTAAAACATTCCGCGCAGTTTCAATATAATTGTTTCGTTTCGTCGTAGAAACCTAAAAACTGTTCAAACAGTTTTTATTTGGTGATCTTGTGCCTTTCCCAATGTTCTATTGTCTATTTTACTGCAAAATGAGAGGTTTCAGAGTTCTGAGAGAATCTTGATAACTCATATACAGCAATTATTCTTGATGCCAGCTTGTAAGTGGTGTGTACGCAACGTTCACTTGCAATATACCTATATTCTGCTTTTTGTTCATCTTATCATTGGTTAGCATGGTAATACGGGCGGTAAAAACTAACAAAAGATCCGGTGAAACAGCACTGTAGACCGGTGAAAATAGGCAATAGAACATTGTGAAAGGCACAAGATCACCAAATAAAAACTGTTTGAACAGTTTTTAGGTTTTTACGACGAAACGAAACAATTATATTGAAACTAAGAAAGGAATTCGATGAAAAAGCATGGCAGACTGCGCGGAATGTTTTACTTTCCTCATACCCACAACTTGGTTTGCAAGCGATGGGGTTTTCCTGAAACCTTATCATGAAATGGTGATACGCGACACATGTGACAGGAAAATCTTCGGGCTATTCAAATCGTCGCGCTTTTAGCGAGACATTTGTTCAAACCATACGTCTTGATAGAGTGTAACGTCTGCGAAAGAAAGGTCGCAACGACAAACTGCATCAGATGAGTTAACGTCGGACTGATTTGAGCGTGGGCCAATTCTGCCTCCCCCGTCCGTTATTCACGTAGCTAGTACAGCTGCAGAAGAATCACTGTTATTTACATTACATAGCGCAAATGAAAAAGCCTTGTGACAATAAATAAGTAGGCAGTGCGTTTATAAGGAAGAAAAATAAAGCGAATCATTCATCGTTTTTAATCACACTTACCTTTTATACAGAATACCGAACTACTATATTATACCGCTGTGACTTTTACTTTAGCTACAATGCAAATTTATTTGATCCATCTTCAAATTTTCCTATATCGTTTCTCGAATTTATACATCGAATTTATCCAAGATCAGACATGCAGCAATACGAATCATTAATGAAGATACTGTGCAATATTATTGATTATCCAGTGATAGTGGGTCCCAATATGACTGTCTACCCAATATATTGAGATCAATAATATTGGTCATTCAGTATACTGGAACCAATATTATTGGTCACTCAATAATATTGGACAATATTCGGTTCCACAATACACTAGATTGCAATCTTTTAATCTTAATATCCCTTACTTTCATCAAAACGTGAGTAAGCATATGCCGATCTGGATTAGCATGTGGGCATGTAGCGATTAATAATGGATGTTAAGGCATTCAGCAAAGTCGTTCAGAATCACTTGTAGAAAGGCACCTAGAGCCGAATGTCTCATTTTGCAGAAAAATGTTTGCTCTATCAAACTGAAGTGCAAAAGGACATTTTTGTGTTATCTATGTCAGAAGCATCAAAAATTGAGCAAAACTCCGAAAAAATAAGCTACTCTCGATTATTAATCTACGACTTTAGCGCGTTTCCGATTTATCATATTCTCGCTATATATAACATCAACATTTTTCTGTCACTTCAATTTGGTAGAGCAAACATTTTTCTACAAAATAACACATTCGGCAGCTCTAGGTGCCTTTTTTACAACTGATTCGGAACAGGTTTGCTGAATCCCCCAATAGAGATTATTAATTGGTAAATTATTGGTTTGAGTATATTGGGTGATGAATATTGTTGTGAAAACCTATACTAGGTGAAGCATCATAGCTTCTATTGCTGCTCTACTGTATTTCCTTTGTGAACATTGTTTCAGCAGTCAATGATCTTTGCATAAGCAATGTTCCCGAGCACGCATTCGCTTCTAGCGCTGCAATGGAAAAAGTGCACGTGTCGTATTTACTTTTTCAGATAAGCCGTTCTTTCACGTTTGAGTAATTCTAATAAAATGTTTTTCAAACTTGGTAACTCGATACCAGCGCGTCTAATAATGAGCATACCTTATCGTCACTATCGAGCAGCGGTTGCCGAACAAGCGATAATACCCAACATAAATGATTATAGTTCCAATCTAAATTTCGATTCATTATCAGCTAAATCGATAACAAGCAGTCTTATATCAATGTCGAATCAAAAAGCAAATCGTCTATTTTTCGACTTTGAATTACGTTCGAACGTAATTGAAAGATTTAAAAGTTTAATTCAAACAGCAACACATAATTTGGAAGCTAAGAAACAATTACATGAAATTCTATCAATGCTTTATGAAAGAAGGTTTCAGGTACCGCCTATCGAAAAGATTGGTTTGGGCGCCAACTATCTATTGAATGATATTTGTTTCCTATTAGAAAATCATTTATTAGACCATATTGATGAATTAGTCAACGATCAAGTGAGTAAGCTCGAGATACCTAAAACAGGTAAAGCCTATGTCCAATGGATAATGAACATAATTCAACGTCATTTGGCCGCTAAGCATCCATATTATAATGAGTTTATGTTAAACAAAGCAAATAAAAACGATGTGAAATATTGGTTGGCACAAGAAAGCACGTTAGATCAAAAGTTTGATGATATTCTGGCACTGATGCAAGTGGGAACATCTGGACCAGTCAAAATGGAAATAGCTTCAAATTATTGGGATGAAATGGGGAACGGGGAACCGTTGAAAACACACACATACCTATTTGAATTATTGCTGAATGAATTAGATGTTACTAGTGAGTATATACGTGATAACTTATTATTAACATCATTGATCACTGGTAACATATCAACATGCTATGTTCTGAACAAAAACCTATTTTATCAAGCAATTGGATATTTTGGTGTTACAGAATATTTAGCACCAATACGATTTAAAAACGTTGTCAAAGCATTAGAGAGAAATGAAATATCGGACGCAGGCAAACAGTATCATAAATTACATATTTGGATTGACAAAATACACGGTGCAGCATGGTTCAATAATGTTGTGAGAAAAATGATCGATAAGCAACCGGAATGTGGGAAAGAAATTATCAAAGGGGCATTAGTTCGTTTACAAACATCTGTCGAACATTTAAATTCATTTCCATCATCAACACACATTCCTTTACAAACACAAACGAAAATCAAAATATAATCAGCGATCTAACTTTCTCATACCTGGACGAATTTCTGTTGCATGCAAATTATCTTTTTAGTTCCTATAGTATTTCTTTCTGATTCAGCATTAAAAACTGTATTTAATGATGGTGTTTTATTTATTCCGAAATTAAAGGTCTGTTTATGACGAATGTCCTAACCCAACCCTCTAAAATTCGGACAGGTCATTTTGCAAACCTGTCTAGGTGTTTGTGTTAGATACCATTTGTATCCCATTATGTTCACTGAAATGTCGGCTTTAAAACTATAACTCACTTTATTTCAAATTTTGCTTGGTTGCTGAGAAAATTCATGTTTTCTAAATGATTTTCCCACTATCGTTTTAAACGTAGCAATCAGCGTACCAAATATACAGTAAAACAAGTCTTTGTGCGTTTAACAAAGCAATTTTGGGCATGTGATAACAATATCGTTTCGTCGTAAAAACGTAAAAACCGTTCGAACAGTTTTTATTTCGTGATCTTGTGCCTTTCACAATGTTCTAAGCTTTGTTAGAAATAACTTTGGGATCTTTTAACAGATGTATTTTGTGGAAAAAACATTTTACTGCAAAATGAGAGGTTGCAGAGCTCTGAGAGAATCTTGATAACTGATATACAGCAATTATTCTTGATGCCAGTTTTTAAGTGGTGTGTACGTAACGCTCACTTGCAATATACATATATTTCGGTTTTTGTTCATGGTATCAATAGTTAGCAATATCTATGACAGTAGCCAGTTTCGAAGTTACCTTAATATAATGTTTCAATTCAATACTCCAAATTGGCATAAATATAAATTATGTATAAGCCAAATTTCTATAGAAGCTTGTATTTAATACGTAAGTTAACATAGTACAAGTTTCAGCTATGACATATGCATAATTGTCACACAAAATAGCATAGTTGGGGTGTAAGAGCATTAATGCCGTGACGTAGAGAAGAAAGGTTTTAAGAAGAGACAGAAAATTCTGGTGGAGATTGCATAATATCTTTGATGATATAGGCATAATTCTGACGCAAAACCGTAGAATTCAAAATGATAAAATTATAGAAGAAAAATATAAGATTCAAAGCACAACGATAAACTTTGAGTAACTGACGCGGTTTTCAACTTACCCAGAGGAATGTTATCATTTACTCGCTGAAACGCTTTTTTCATTTCAAAAGAAACTCCTACTGTCTTAACGCTATTGTCCATGAGAGAACTAATATGTTGTGTGAGATATGTAAGTGCGTCTACCTTTGACGACTGCGGTCGAAAACCAAATTGATTGTCGTTAAGAAAAGAGTTTTTGTTTAATTGCAAAGGCAATCTGTCGAAAATTAATCGTTCTAATACTTTTCTTATATTTGAAAGCAGGGAAGTTGGACGATAATTTTCGACAGATGATTTACCTCCCTGTGGTTAACGCTGTCATGTGAATATAGTGTATGATATGGCAGAACACCCGAGAAGAGTAGGAAAAAATGAGTATTTAATACTCGTTCAAAATAATTGAATGCGCAGAACGTGGGCGGCGGCTACATTCTACGCATATATTTTGTTGTTCGACATCGTGACGAGTTTTTTTTTAAATAGGTACCGTCTGGCTTTTGAGATACAGGGCCAACAATGTCACTCATTGGCTTCATCAGAACATAGAAATTATTTTTCATCGAGTAGTTAGATTAGTTTTAAGTGGAATTATTTCCAATGTCAAGACAAGTATAAACCTTTCAACAAACAATTACACAAAATTCGTAATTTGCAATGGATATAATTGGAAGCAGAACTTCCTTATTAAGTTGAGAAAACAAATATATAAACTAACGAGAACAGAAAAAAGGTTTAATTTATATATGCTTTACAAGATGTATATTCAAATATACATTTGTAATTAACCAAATGGTTAATTAAAAGTGTATGTTAGTGCTAATATTTACGAAAAAATATAAATTACTAGCACTTCCTACAATTTTCCTGTCAAACATTCCAGATTGAATCACATCCTAATCGTATCCTATCATAGAACAAGTAAGTATAGACCCTCATTACCAACATATTTAATACAAGCATTAACGCATAGACGAAATATTGTTAATCAATCAGCAAAATCAACTACAACAAATGAATAGATTCATCAAACATGAAATGAAAATGATTAAAACAACGCAATGGCAAAAGTTTTGTTTAGCACTCGAACCAAAAAATACTTATAAATTCTGGAACTGTACTAAACGTCTATTTAGAAAACGAACACAAACAATAAAAGGATTTCTCACTGATAATCAACATATTATAACAGAAGCAAATACTATGGTAAACCATGCGCCTAAACGTTATTCTAATTCGATTAAGAGACATCCCGATGACGGTATTGAAATTTCAACATTTTATCAAAATTTACATCAAGAAGTGGATGATGTGCTATCAAAATCATTTATTTTAAAATGTCCGACATCGTTCAATCAATTCAAACATTAAAATCAAAAACATCATCATGGCATGAAAAAATGTCGAACAAATTAATTAAGCTACTTCCTCGTTCACATTGTTAGGTTCCCGAGTGAACTAAGATCATTCTCACCTAACGGTTATTTACAAATAAAAAAGATATCCTCTTAACAATAAAATTGATCTATTTATATAAGAAATATTGCGCGATAACCTTGAATATATTCTTGCGCAATAACTTAGACTATATGCTTGCGCAATAACCTTCACTATGATCTTCTCCCTTATAGCATGACTCTAGTACGTGACATAACACCTCCCCCCATGGCAACAAGATGAACTTCCACGTTCATCGAAAATTAAATGCCTCTTAAAGGTCCTTTTGATGTT